GCCAGGGAAATTAGTGTGATCAGTGGCCTGGATATTGTTTAGACCACTTAGCGATGGTGTTCCATAGCATCCCTTGTGTATCTTTCATAGCTTTGATCAAGAAGCAAAGCATTTGCGTGATCAAGAGCTAAGCATTTGCACTTGGGGCATGGGGAATGCAGTGGATGGGGGAGGGTCTTTGAGGTGTGACTGGTTCCATTTCCTGTTCTTTTCCCATTGGTATTTGGCTAGATTCCAGATGGACACATTGTATGGGGTCTCAGATGGGACTGTCTCCAAAGTGCACCTCCCAGGGCAAGCCCTGCTAAGCAAAAACTTTTCCTCTGCACCAAGCCCCAGACAAGGAGGTGACTAATTGTTCTTGATGTCCATAAGTAAAGGGTGTTTTGGAGAAAGACAAAGATTCTGAGGATAGAAAATGTGTTCATCTCCACATGTTGAGCTGGATGAAGTAGCGGCCAAGAGTTTCTTGTGCGTTCTTGTAGGAAGTTAATGGAAATAATTCAGGGATCTGCTATTCTTGGGCTCTGTACTCTCAGCCAACCACAGTTCATGCAGTCCCCCAAGCTGGACTTTAACAGTGACCTAGTCATAGAGATAACCAAGGCCAAGCCGCTGCCTAGCTAGAATGGGTTCTGCTTGTGGCTTGGGGTGTTCAGAGGTCCAGCACATGCTAGAAATTTGCGTGTACCGAGATCCTAAAGAGGATGACTTGCCCAAGACATTAAAATATTTCCTGATATTCCCATTGCTTTCCTGAAAGATGGTGAAATCCACTTCTATAAACCTACTCTTTTCTATTAATGTATTCTCTATGTAAGACATTTCTGATTTAGGCCTATACTAAAAATGCTTGGACGTGAGTTTTTCCCCTGTACTTTGAGTTCTGATGATCTAATGTTAAAATGTGCTATTGTTCATATTATCACTGTCCAACCAAGTAGTTAAATCTACCAAGGCAGTCAAGTTTTGTGCCTTGTATGAGAGGAAGTCTAGGAAGACTTCTCTGTTTACTGAGCTAGTTGCCCTCTACCTATTTAAAAACTCCAAATAGTCTTGAAACGAGATTTAAAAACACCTGTGGACCGTTCTTCCATTGCTCTTAATTCACTGCACAATTATTTGCCTGTCGATCACTGCTTTTATGTTTTGTTAACATTAAAATGTAAATCACTCACTCATTATAATACTGTCTTAAAAAATTTGTTTTTTCATTTATTTCCAAATGTTCACTAGGGACTTAGCAATGTCACCCACAAGAAAAAATTGGATTTTCCATTTTCTTGGTGCTTCAAATTTTAAAAATAGTTTCACAATATTACCTCATTTTTTTACATGTCAGTAACACAGATGTAGACAAACAAGAATTCTTGTTCCTGTGTTACAGATGTGGAAACTGAGGCTTGCCCAGAACTGCTAAGCTGGGGAATAAGTGGTGCAATCAGGACTTGAGCCCCAGCTTCCACCTCCGAAGCCCATGTTCTTCCCATTACCCCACGATCCTGGCCGAGAATCAGGGCACATGTGCACAATGGCAACGGCAGCGTGGATGGATTAGGACAGACCTGTGCAGGCTCCCAGAAAAATAACTCAAAATACATTTCCTGGTGATGACGGGACTGTAGCACATCTTCAGATACAAAAGAGAAGACGTGGTGCAGAAAGGATGTTTTGATCACTGACCAAAACTGTCTTGGAGCTTGGAATGTGAATGTGTTAGAGAAAAGTGAAGCAGCAAAGGGCAACACGCTCTAGCATTTTAAGAGGAAAAAAATGCATGGCAGGGGAAGAAAGGAAAGGAAGGAGGATGTGGAATATCCCAGAAATACCTCCCCCAACCCATGACCCTCCACTGCCCGCTTCCCTAGCCTTAGTCTAGTCAGAAGACTTCTTTAGGAACCATTTGGTAATTCCAAAAAACAACTTAGTTTTCTTTCTTGATGCCTTTGGGTATGTGCTTTTAAAAATTAATCCAAAATATCTTTTTCTGCAACATAATTCCTACATACCTACTTAGTTTCAGTTCAGGTCCACCTTTTGCAGGGAGCCGTTCCTAACATTGCATAGGAACAGGAGCCTGCCCTTCCTCGTCACCCTCATGTTCGGTCTTTTCCTCTGGCATTGCTGTAGAGTGACAGCTTAGAGACTCGAGCCCATCTCATTTCTTTGGTGGAGGAAGCATGTCTAGGGGAGTGCACTGGATTGAAGGTGGCTGTCCTGGCCAGGCCCTGATCATGGCATTCGATATCTCTGGACCTCAAGTCTCAGCAAGACTTCTCTGACAGCCAACAGGTATCCAGCAGGATGCTCAGCCACCTCTGGATTTTGCTTTATAAAATAAGTACCTTGGCCAAGCACGGCAGCCCACACCTGTAATCCCAGCACTTAGGGAGGCCAAGGTGGTAGGATCGCTTGAGCCTAGAAGTTGAGACCGGCTTGGGCAACATAGCGAGACCCTGTCTCTACAAAAAATACAAAACTTAGCCAGGTTTGGTGGCTCGTGCCTATAGTTCCAGCTACTCAGGAGGCTGAGGTGAAAGGATCACTTGAGCCTAGAAGTTTGAGGCTGCAGTGAACCACGATACCACGATGGTGCCACTGCATTCCAGCATGGATGGCAGAGCGAGACCCTTTTGTTGTTTTGTTTTGTTTTGTTTTGTTTTGTTTTTGAGATGGAGTCTCGCTCTGTCACCCAGACTGGAGTGCAGTGGCGCGATCTCGGCTCACTGCAACCTCTGTCTCCTGGGTTCAAGCGATTCTTCTGCCTCGGCCTGCTGAGTAGCTGGGACTATAAGTACATGCTACCACACCCAGCTAATTTTGTGTTTTTAGTAGAGATGGGGTTTCACCATGTTGGCCAGGATGGTCTCCATCTCTTGACCTCGTGATCCACCCACCTCAGCCTGAGGTGGGAGCCACCGTGCCCGGCCAACCCTTTCTTTAAAAAATAATAAATAAAATTTTATTAAAAATAAGTACCAGGATTAATTCATTTTTAATATCTCCTCTAGATCACAACTGTGGATTGAATATAAAATATGGAACAAGTCTCTCTTTCAGATGTACAACAAATGTATATAAAAAATCATGGGAGAAGATGACCTCAGTTCTTGAAACTTATAAACATTTCAGCAATTTTGCTCTTGCAAAGAAATCCTTAATTCTGCGTTTTCAAACTTTAAGCAGAACTGACAGCCATTTGTGCTCTCTCTGTTTGAAGTAGTTCTTTTCTTTCGAGTCAAGAATCTTTTTCCAGGTTCGGCTGTTTCCTTAATGAAATTAATATTTCACACAGAATGGTTTCATGCAAAAGTGCTGGGACGTCTGGAGTCTGGATGTTGTTCCTGGAATGCTTCCACATAAGGAGAATTTTAGACAGGGAAGCCAGAATCCTACCCTATCCAGTGGTTCACGGTCTTTTCTGGCCTTACACTTGGTTTGGGCAATCCTCAGAATGTGTGTGTGCACGTGTGCACATGCATACACACACACCTTTGATTCTTCAGCCTCCTTCCTCCAGTCATTTAAGTAGGAGCTGATAAAAGAAAGCCTTCAGAGTTCACAGTATTGCCTTAGTGGTGTTTTTTGTTGTTGTTGTTTTGTTTTGTTTTTTGAATGTTATAAGAATAAACACAATAGAGGAAAATTCCAGGCAAATGTGGCCATTGCCTTGTGTGACTGCCAGGACACTCATGTCCATCTGGTCCTGGGGCCTGTAGCCTTGCCTGCACCTCACAGTCCTAACAGAGCTGTTGACATCCGTGGAGCCCCAGAATTTCGCCAACTGCTACATGTATCTTTGGAGAGTGTATTTTCTGGAACATACTCAGAACATGAAGTTGTTGTTTCTACAGTTTTCCTCCCTAGGCCTTCTCAGTAACTCTGTTCTTGAATGTAGGCAAGAGCCTGGGATTGTGAAAAGCATTGAAACCTCAGTAACCCCAGGACAAATGGAGAACCAAAATCCCATGCACTGGTGGGTCCTAGGGGGAGGAGTAAAGGGGAGTCTAGGAGTCAGGGGGCCATGGGGCTGACCAGTGTGGAACAGCGATACAGCCTCACGACGTGGAAACCACAGATGAGTCTAGCTGCGGTGCAGAGATGCTAAGGACAGGAATTTCAAAGGAGCTGAGATCATTGCAGGAGAGACAAATGTGAAAACTGCACTCTGGAGCTTCATTTCTGACTTCAAATCACGTGCTGCCACACAGCAGCTGTCATGTAACCTCTCTGTGCTTTTGTTTCCTCACTGGTAAAATAGAGATGGTAGAACCTCTTCATAGGGTGGTGTGAGTGTTTTAGTGCATTGGTGTATATTAAGTGCTTAGAACAATATGTAGCATATTCCCGCCTCCCCCATGAAAGCTGTGCTCACTAATCCAGGAGCACACTACTGTTCTTGTTATCTTATTATCTTAATACCACTGCTGTTCTTGTTATCGTTATTGTTATGACTCTCAAAATTGCTATAATGCTATCCATAGGGACTGTAGAGTTATAATAGTGGCTACTAAATTTAAGCAGCATCCTTGCCTGGTGCTGTATCATTTTTGGACACCAGAGATACATTTTTTCCTGTCTATAGAGAGTGAAAAGGCACCACTCTGTCAGAATGACTACTTTCTACTTTAAAAATGTTTTTGATGATAACTCTTGATGGGTTTAGATAAAGCCATCCTTCCAAAAGGCCTGAAGCACTCTCAGATGGCTCCGTTTTTTCAGCCCTTTACTGCTCTGGGATGTGGTGTACCCACTGTTGAGCTAATATTTTTGATCTTCAATTTGGAACCCGAATTATGCTCTACAGCAGTCACTGTAGGTGGATGTATAAAATTCCCATCAAAAGATATTCAGACACTTTCCAGGCTCCGTGGTATGCAGGAGATGGAGGCACACGTGGAAGGGTGCGCCTGCAGATTCCCGTCGCTCTGAGCTGCAAGGGGGTGGGGCAGGTGCGAGCCAACAGTGATGGGGCCTCACGCTGCTTGTCCACTCCTTAGATGACTATGCTCAGCTGTGTAACATCCCCGTGACGGGACGTCGGCAGCCATATGGACGGGACGCCTTGGTTGACTTCAGTGAACAGTATGCTCCAGAAGCCGATCCCTACTTCATCCAAGACCGTAAGCAAAATAACCTTGTTCCTTTGATGCTAAGTTGTGGTTGAAGATTAACCAGTGGTCCTCAAAATGTAATGGCAACTTGTTAGCAATGCAGCATTTCTGTTCCCACCTCAGACCCGCTGGTCAGAAAGTCTAGGGTGGGACCCAGCCATCTTTGTTTCACAAGGGCGGTCCTTCTGCACGGGTGAGTTTAAGAACCACTGCATCATTCGTGAGCTGAGATCACACCACTGCACTCCAGCCTGGGCAACAGAGCGAGACCCTATCTCAAAACAAAACAAACAAAAAGAACCATTGCATCTGATGAATAGTCTTGCTGGTGGAGGTACTGTTATATTTATTTTTCTTAAGGTTTTGAGACAGAGTCTCACTCTGTCACCCAGGCTGGAGTGCAGTGGCACGATCTCAGCTCACTGCAACCTCCACCTCCCGGGTTCAAGCGATTCTCCTGCCTCAGCCTCCCAAGTAGCTGGGATTACAGGTGTGCACCACCACCCCAGCTCATTTTTGTATTGTGAGTAGAGACTGGGTTTCACCATGTTGGTCAGGCTGGTCTTGAACTCCTGACCTTGTGATCCACCCGTTTCGGCCTCCCAAAGTGCTGGGATTATAGGCATGAGTCATCGTGCCCAGCCTGTCATTATATTTTCTATGACAAAATCATTTCTTTGCTCTTTAAGTGGTGGACTAGTTTGAGGGCCAAGGTTTCCACAAGAGCCCAGTTGTATTGCAGCCTTTTTTTCCTACAGGGAAATGGCAGATGTTAACTGTACAAGTTGATCATTATTATACATGTTTTAGAGTAGGAGGTAAGAAAAGAATTGCCCTTCTGGTCAGAAATGACTTTTTAAAATACATTGGTGAGGGGATTTATAGAGTAAGAAATAATGTGTGCCAACTTTTCCTGGATTAGTGAGCACAGCTTTCATGGGGGAGGTGGGAGTGTGTATCTGCAAATTGTGATCGCCTTTAGAACATCAGTGCTGTGTGAGGAAGCCTACAAACACACAAGCTCAAATCGGACTTTTCAAATGCAGACAATTTGAAGTCTGAAACGGCAGGAGGTCCACAATGAAATATTAGTATATAGTAGATAGTCTCACTTCAAGAACAAGAACAGGGAAACGCCCATTTCAGGACCCTCATCCACAGCTCACAGAGGGACCATCCTCACATGTGTAGCTTCACCCCAAATTTTTTTTTTTTGAGATAGGGTCTCACTCTGTTGCCCAGGCTGGAGTGCAGTGACATGATCACAGCTCACTGCAGCTCTGCCCCCTGAGCTCAAGCGATCCTCCCACCTCAGTCTCCCGAGTAGCTGAGACTACAGGCATGTGCCACTATGCATGGCTAATTTTTGTATTTTTTCCGTAGGGATGGGGTTTTCACCATGTTGTCCAGGCTGGTCTCGAACTCCTGGACTCAAGCGATTCACCCGCCTCAGCCTCCCAAAGTGCTTACAGGTGTGAGCCACCATGCCTGGCCTGCACCATGTTTTAAAGATAGGTAATTGCTGCCGACCAAAGAGTTTGACTTAGGACTTTAGAGAAAAGTGCAATGGAGCTTTTCTCTGTCCTGGGCCCTGTCACCTGTGCATGAAGCATCCCAGCCAGGACCCAGTTCTGGGGCAGCAGCGTGAGATTTCTAGTTGAATTTAAGAGCTATTTCAGTTCTGCATCAAGAGCTTTTATTTTTTTTCCTTCCCTTCTCTTTCTCTTTTCCCTTTCTCTCCCTTCTTCATTCCCTGCTTGTCCTCCCTTCCCTTTTTTTTTTTTTTTTTGAAGGATGTAGTGTATTGATCATCTAGTAGAATTAAGAATGTTTTAAAATGTCCATGATAAGAACATTCTGTTAATCCAGCTTGGCTGATGAACACACACCTGTGTAGCTGCCACCCAGGTCAGGAGCAGTGCCAGCCTCCAGAAGGCCCCTGGCGCCCTTTTCCACCCCCCTCCCTACGGTAACCACTGTCCTGACTCCTAGCACCGTAGATGAACAACACTCTCTCTTTTCGTCCACAACACATAACCACGCAGCACTTTATGAAATGGACCAGAATGCACTTACAGCTACAAGGCTGTGCACTTAGGGTTTGATGCTTCTCTGTATATGTTATGGGTCGGTAAACGTTTACTTAAGGAAAAAGGAAGGGAGAATTATCAAGGTTGAAAGAAAGCCCAGCTTGCCCCATAAATCAGGAATATCAGGTTAAGTCTATATGCAACTCTGACAAATCTGTGGCTTACAGCTTTCCTCCCTAGACCTCCTCAATAACTCTGTTCTTAAATGTAAGCAAGAGCCTGGGATCATGAAAAGCATTGAAACCTCAGTAAGCCCAGGACAAATGGAGAACCAAAATCCCATGCACTGATGGGTCCTAGGGGGAGGACTCAGTCTATAAGTCAGAAGCCGCTATGGCATTGTAGTTTGGATTCCAGGAATTTTCATGTTGAAATGTCTGGCTTATGTACCTTCTTTTTAATGCTGGCACTGCTTTAAAGCTCTTTTTTTAATTTACTACAAATGTTAAGAAATAAACATGTTGATGTCACATCAATTTCCTATTTAGCAACATAGGAAATTGAGATGCAGTTCCAAGACCTCCAGCTTGGACGATGTAATGGCCTTTACATTTCTTACAAGTTGCAGAGAAATATTTCCCCCTTCCCAGCCAGTGTTCTGACCTCCAGCAAGGGCTTTTGGGCCCTGCTGCAAAAATGATCCTGTTGGGTAGATAGTAACATAGATGGAGGCTGAGTGAGGTTTCTCATCACCTTTATGGTTCACCATCTCTGTTACCTTTCGGGAGAGCAGTACTTCTAAAACTGGAATTTACTGGAGCAGAGAATAGGCAAACATTTTTTCTATAAAGGGCCAGGCAGTAATTTTTTTTTTCTTTTTTGAGACCAAGTCTTCCTCTGTTGCATAGGCTGGAGAGCAATGGTGCAATCTTGGCTCACTGCAACTTCCACCTCCTGGGTTCAACTGATTGTCCTACCTCAGCCTCCTGAGTAACCCTGGGATTTTAGGCATGCACCACCACGCCCGACTATTTTTGTATTTTCAGTAGAGATGGAGTTTCACCATGTTGGCCAGGGTGGTCTTGAACTCCTAACCTTGTGATCCACCTGCCTCAGCCTCCCAAAGTGCTGGGATTACAGGTGTGAGCCACCACACCCAGCCCAGATGGTAAAATTTGTAGGCTTTGCAGGCCATGTGGGTTCTGCTGTAGGTATTCAACTCTGCTGTCGTTTCACAAAAGCAACCCTTAGACAGCACAGCAGCAAATGGGCGTGACTGTGTTTATTTACAAAAATAGGTAGCAGGCCAGATTTGGACCAGAGACTGTAGTGTCCTGTCTTGTTTTAGAGTCCTGAAGAAGTATTTTGAGGAGCCTGCCTGATGTGTGGGAAGTTTCAAGTTTTACTTTTTATAATTTCTGTAATAATAAAAAATGTATTAGCTGTGAAGTAAAAATGATTTTGCTGTGATACATGGGATCTGAAAACATTGTCATAGATTAAATCTTTATTTTTTGTCAGTGTTTCTTAACTGGCTTTGAGTATGTGGTGTCACTTTTTGTCTGCACAAATAAAAACAATAAAAATACAAATTCTCACTAATGCTAACAACATCCCTCCCCCCTTCCCACAACCCCATGACAGGCCCCCAGGTGTGTATGTTCCTCCGCCACGTGTCCACAGTGTCCTATGATTGCTTCAATTCCCCACCTATGGAGTGAGAACAGACGAAGACAGAAGATTTCTGGCCTTGCAATTTGCTCAGAATGGTGGTTTCCAGTTTGATCCATGTCCCTACAAAGATCAAGACTCATCCTTTTTTATGACTGCATAGTATATCCATCGTATATACTGCTGGCCCATTTCT